TTGTCTTTTTTCACAAAAAGTAATTTTCAATGCAGGGAGATGACAAGAAGGGCATGCTTGCAGTACAGAGCTTGAGAAACACGCTAATGTTCGCCATTTTAATCGCCACAGTCACAATCCTCGTCACACTCTCCTTGGGCGCTCTCGCCAACAATGCCTTCAATGCCGGCCGATTCCTCTCCTTGGGCTCACAGTCGGGCCGGATCATGGCCCTCAAATACGGGTCGGCCTCTCTATTCTTGGCAGCCAGCTTTCTGTGCAGCTCCTTGGCAGTGGGCTTTCTGGTGGATGCGAATTTTCTGATTAATGCAATTGGGGAATTTTCTCCTGCTGCTGCAGGCTACACAGATACGGTGGTCGAGAGAGGCTTCGTGCTGGCGGTGGTGGGGAATAGAGTGCTCTGCCTCGCTTTCCCTCTCCTCATGTGGCTGTTCGGGCCTTTGCCGGTTGCCGTTTCATCTTTGGCGTTGGTGTGGGCCCTATACAACCTCGATTTTCTTCCCAACAATCACCTCGTTGCTTCTTATACTTCTTCTTCTTCTTCTTCGATTTAGATGGCAATTGAGATAGGAAAAAGTGCCGTGTAATTTGGAATTATGCATAAATTGTAATCGAAGACACCAGTTTGCTTGTATTATGAAACAAGCTAGCTGGGGAATCGACTCAATGTAACAGTTGTTCATTCCTTACAACCTAGCTGAACACGGACAGAAAATTATTCCATAATCTGAAAGAGGAAAGAAAGGCCTCACGAGCTAAAACAACTATCTACAGATAAATTTTGCAAACTACACATAAAACGTACTGATTTTAGTTAACCGGGGGTAAGCTAGGCTCTAAAAATTAATAAAGTCTGTCGAGGGTATATAAATAGTTCAACCCTAATTTCTGATGACATGGTAAGAAACTAGGAGCAACAGCAGAAGTTGAAGCAATACCTCCCATACCTTCCCTTTTTCTCATTCCATGGAAAATATATACTTGTTCATTTCACATCAGTGTTCATTCATTCAAAGCTCCAATGGAGAAAGTTCATCTATTATTGGGTTCAGCAAAATATCTAATTGATGATAGATAGTCCAAATCATATTGATGAGCATGAGTGAGTTTGGCTTCACTTCCACAACCATTTTTCACGGCCCACTGGTCATAGAAAAGGAAAAGGGCTTTAATACAAAGAGTTTTTTAGAACCCAATAACTCCGTTTTCTAGGTGCAAATGGTTGAAGACAACAAACAAAGCGCAGTCCTGAAATCAAAGTCCGAAAACTGAGAGATGAAACCCTAAGCTAATAGCCGATCAACATTTGATCTTCCCATCAATTTGTCTACAGCGGCTCTTTGCCACCTCAGCACGTCCTCCGTGGCTATGTCTCTCCATCACCTCTCCTTCAAATCTATCATTCACCTAATTTGCTCTCTACCCTGAAATTGAACACCTCGTCGATGCTCAAAAATGGGGTCTGAAAGGATTTCTGGTGTCGAGGAAGTGACAGGAAACCGAAGAAGAAGGGAAAAAAATAAATAAATAAATAATAAAGAAAATTTTTTAACTAATTACTAAAAGTCATACATTAGATTCAAAGAAGATGAGTCTCTGACAGGCGAAAAATGAAGAAGCTGTGCTGCATCGTTGTTTTCTTTTGCTCCACATATCCATACGTAAGGATAAACCTAGGATTGACGCGTGGAGACACACGCACTTCTCAGCTGAAAAAGAAAAGTATATACAAACATTAGGTTCTTCTCAAACATTACCTCCTGATTGCCTGTTTGGAATCACTTATCTCAAGCTCATGGCTTCATTTCTATATCCCACAGTTACATTTCATCAAGACTCCAAACCCATTAGGTTCCTTCCATCAAGATATTCAAGACTCTTTCCTCAGAGCCTCATTTGGTCCTTAGCCAACAACCCTTGTAACAAAAATTCCATCAAATGCAATGCTTTCTTAAACCACATCTCGGACAATCTTTTGGCCAACAACCCACTTCATCTGGACCAGTTACTGCAACAGTTTTCGAGAGTGACCGAGGAGCTCCCTGATGCTCAAAAATGGGGTCTTTTTGTTTCTGCTGGAGTTACCTGGATTTATTTGACTGCTAGGCCTGGTGTTCTTCTAGGGGCCATTGATTCATACATTTTGGCTCCTCTGCAAGTGGTCCTGGACACCTTGAGTGGGAGGAGGAGCTTGAAGAGGACTGATTTCTTGGTTGGTAATATCATAGGTGAGGGGTCGTTTGGTGTTGTTTATACTGGAGTGATTGTTCCCAAGAACGTAGCTTTAGACGAAAATTATCCAAAAAAGGGAACTAGAAGAGCTCTCCAGATGGAGGAGAGGTTTAAAGAAAAAGTTATTCTCAAGAAGGTAAATGTGCTGGTCACCATTGAGTTTCATATCCTTCGATTTTTGTCATTGTAATAGGAGATTGATGTTAGTTTCCTTGTACTTCATCCAAAGAGATGTATAAAGAAGTATAAAAAAATCGAATCTTGGTGTTATCTACAGGTTAAAATCGGAGTTCAAGGGGCAGTTGAGTGTGGAGAGTTTGAGGAGTGGTTTAACTACAGGCTGTCGAGGGCAGCTCCCGAGACTTGTGCAGAATTTCTAGGAAGTTTTGTCGCGGATAAAACCAACACTCAATTTACGAAGGGTGAGAAATGGCTCGTCTGGAAATATGAGGTGCTTGATCTAGCTTGACTTTTGAGAAAAGATTGCTACTTTATTTAAATGTGTAATGTGTGTTGTGTTTGAGCGGCGGATTGAGAAATAATAAGGTTTTATCATTACATTTGCTAGCTGCACTAAATTATTAGAATCTTCATCATGCAGGGAGATTTAGACCTGGGCGATTACATAAAAGACCGAACTTTTCCTTTAAATTTAGAGTCTGTCATGTTCGGACGTGTTCTGCGTGGGCTGGAGTCTTTGGAGCGTAATGCGCTAATCATCAAACAGATTATGCGTCAGATAATTACTTCCCTCAAGAAAATCCACAACACAGGAATAGTTCACCGAGATGTGAAGCCATCCAATTTGGTTGTCACCAAAAAGGGGAAAATCAAACTCATTGACTTTGGGGCAGCCACAGACCTCCGCATTGGCAAAAACTACGTCCCGAATCGTGGCTTGCTCGATCCTGATTACTGTCCACCTGAACTTTATGTAATGCCTGAGGAAACTCCAAATCCACCACCAGAGCCAATTGCAGCCTTCCTTTCTCCAATTTTATGGCAGGTATAGTGGTTCATTCATTATTTATGGCTGTGTATGGAAAATTTGTAACTTGGAAAAAATGTAGCACATTTATAAGCAAAACCCGTCTGCTGTTTTTCTGCAGCTGAATAGTCCTGATCTATTTGATACGTATTCTGCCGGAATAGTACTAATGCAAATGGCGGTGCCAACTTTGAGGTCCACATCGGGACTGAAGAATTTTAATGTAGAACTGAAAGTGGTAGGTTATGATCTGAACAGATGGAGAAAACACGAATGAGGCCGGATCTCAGTATTCTGGATCTTGATTCCGGTAGAGGGTGGGATTTGGCTACAAAACTTATCTCGAAGAGAGGTTACTTAAGAAGGGGAAGGTTATCGGCTGCAGCTGCTCTGAGGCATCCTTACTTTTTGTTAGGCGGCGATCAAGCTGCTGCTGTTATCTCGAAATTCAGTTTAATGAAGCAGTGAGTGTAAATCTTCTTGCAAGTTTTTTCTTTTTTTTTTTTTCATCTGTCTATTTTATTTCAAATACGAATGATGAGATCGTTTAGTTAAGGTCTAGCTTGCACGTTTTCATTTAGATGAGCCAAAGGTGGTCATATGGTGAAATCTCTTGTGGATTTCGACATATAACTCTTGTTGAGCTTATATATATAAGAAAATACAAATTTATTCGACATATATTCCGCAGTGCTCCTTGGCTTATACATAATAAAGCATAGTTAATGTCATTAAAGCTCATCATCATAGACCGGCTTCTCGATGGCATGCCTTTTCTTGCAGCCCCATTTGCATCTCTCAGTAAAAGCAGAACAGAAGGTATTTAGCCTGTTGGAGTGAACAGATATGATATTTTTCGTCGAAGGTGACTTGGAAAGAACAATGGCGTATCCATCATCCATATGCTCTGTGCCCTCAGGAAACACCTGCCACAATAGGCTACCTCCTCCACTGCCCCGTTTTTCGGTAGAGTCCAAAAGAGTATTGTACACCGTGCTTATGAGGGTGTCCCGGTAAGTCAAATTGTATCCCGGTTCTTTTTTCGATACGCCAAACTCTGAAAACACGACTGGCATGTGAAGGAACGTCTCGGCATCTTCAATGTGAGCTTGCATCCATGATTTTGTGAATTCGACATGTTTATTCGTTGTTGATTGAGAAATCCTTCAGGCAAAAGAAAGGGGCACGTTTGCTATTTAGAGCTCACAATTTAGATATATCCTTAAATTTACGACCTTTGAGTATAAAGGCGAAAGGTAAAGTTTAGAAGACTGTTTTTTGTTTGATGAATAAGTTATAGAAGTACTCTATATGTATGTGAAAGTCACACTAACGCCTGATTCTTACTAAATCATGCAAGATCAGAAGCAAGAGTGAGTATACGAGAAACACTAAAAACGGTTGTTTGCAACATTTCTATAAGATCATATTTCTGTTGGGTTTGGACATAGAAGCTTGTTTTGTTATATAGGTCCTCACCAAGACTCTGGATAGATGTGAACAGAAGCAAAATCAATCCCAAAAACTTGGTGATTTCGGATGAAATCGGTGCCAACTTGCTGGGCATAAGTATTTGGGTTGTACTGAACTTTATCGGGAGTCGAAGGACCATAGAAGCCTTCAAGCCCAATCCCCACCAAATGCTTGGAATCAATGCTTTTCACATGGACTGCCATTTCTTCTATCCAACCCTGTAAATTGAACACTCACAGACTCAAAAACTGTGCATGACTTCAAATTTATCAGGGGCTGTGAGAGCAAACCTGCAGCTTATTTCCAGAGGGATCTGATTCACAACGCGGCTCGTTTATCAGTTCCCAAGCAAAAATAGTCGGGTCTTCTTTGTAGGCTATGTTCGTTATAGAATTAACTCTGTTCAGCACTGTCTGCAGGTAGCACAAACCAAAATGATGCAATATATATATTGGCCAAAGTAAGCTTAGCATTTCGAATGGAGAGAGAAAAGAAACTTGCATTAACATGAGACTTGTAATAGCTCTTTAAAGTCGGGTGAGAGAAGAAATCATCGTCGGATGTTAAACCGAGCCCGGCAGATTTGCCCCATTTCACATACTGCGGTTTTCCGCCGTACGCTTCCCAGTTGTTGGCTAGCGACAATATGAGTCTTATCCTGTACTTTTTCGCTTCGCTTATGACAAAATCGAGGCCCTGAAGATCATATGATCAACTTTTTATGCATAATGTGTAAGACTATTTTGGCAATAAAATTGGAGTGAGGTGTTGTACCTTGAAAACTTGTTCGTCATAAACGGAAGGCGATTTCTGAAGGGCCCGCCACTGGCCATCATTGAAAGCCCATGTCCTGCAAACCGAGAGGCCCACAGCCGATGCCTGTTGAAACACTTGACTCACTTTTACTCGGCTCGAGTCATCCACTGCAAGAACCATCAGCCAGTAGGTGTTGAACCCATGCACGTAAAACGGGTTTAGACCGTCAAGCGTGAAATGGGTCCCGATCTTCTGCACCATGGACCATGCAGCTTCTTCCATCTCATAAAGAAAAAAGAATTAAAA